GGCTCGGCAGGGGTCAACGTGACGCTGGACGGGGCAGTGCAGGGCAACGTGACGCTGGACGGCTCGTCAGCAGCAAACGTGACGCTGGACGGGGCAGTGCAGGGAAACGTGACGCTGGACGGCTCGTCAGCAGCAGGTGGCAACATGCGCATAAAACGCAGTAAGGAACCTGTTGAAGTCATAGAAAGACAATCTGCAGTCAGAGGAGGAAGTGAGGACAATTTTAGGTTTCGGAAACATTATCAGGTTCCCTCACGCTAGCGAAGAGTTAATTATTAAAAGCGGAGAACTGGTTTTAGTAACAATGCAAAAGCTCATTGTGTATCTGATGGCCCTTTTCTGCTGATGGTGGCAGAAGAGTGGAATAAGATGTTTCTGTCTCGACTTTGAATAAAACCCTTAAAACTGTTTGTTTCATATTTCTTTCACTGAGCAGCTTCATAAATCAACAGGTTAAGTGACAAAGATGCTTACTTGGGGGAAAATTACTTGAAATGGCAAACACATTCAAAAATCCATTCCAATTTGTCTGGACATCATGTTCGATCTGTTTGTATTTGATTTATTTTAAAGAAATGCAATTGACAGTATGGAAGCTTCCCTTTGGACTTTCTAGTCTATGCCTCCATTCTTAAACCCTGATGTCACCATTCTGAAGTGTATTGCTGGTGACATTCATTGTATTTTAGTTTCTATTCTTCAACCACCATCGCTTTACAATGAACCCTCGGTCAACAAACTTTCTTAGGAAGTCAGCGAGCAATGACACTCAAAGATGGGAATAAAAATATCATTTATTTTCTATAAAAGTTAATCATGACAATGATTAAGTGCAAAGGTTTTTTTGGCTACTACATAGATATCACTCTTAATCATGCAGTAAATCTCAGTACAAAAGTTAATTATTATCATTCAATGTACATTGTAATTGAAGTCTTTCAGTGTTTAAGTTGCCTTGAGGAAAAAAATGAAATACGAGGTAAAAACAGTACCAGCTTGTTTTCATTGTGTGCCATCTGTACATAATGAATTCCACGTTGAGTACTTCATAATGCTGATCGTCTTCTGTGCCCACTAAGGTCCCCTGCTGTTATGTCCAGTGTTTACCTGGACACACTTTGTTATGCTCGAGCCACCTCCAGCATTTCCTCCACAGTCAGTAGTTTCTCTCTGGGTTTTCCCACAGCATCACCTCTCCTCATCTCCACACTGTTGATCTTCTCCCAGGCTGAGAAAGTCACTGGTTTCACTCCTGTGAACAAGAGGAGATAAAATCACATTAGGATCTGGCTTGATTGTATTTTTTTTGGTCATCAGACAAACTACAATTTGGTAATTGCATGGTTGCTGTGGTAAATCTAATTATCCATTAGTCTAAATGAGCAGTTGTGCCACATTTTTAAGGATTCTCTCTAGATGATCTCAAGAAAATACATTCAAGTCCAAAAAGGGTTTTGTGAGGTCACATTTACCTTGACAGGGCTCTTGACTGCAACTATTTTTGGAGAGTGTGACTTGCAAATATACCCTGTTTAAAAAAAACCATATAAGCTATCTCGTGAAATTCCAGGACCAAGTGAGAATTTGTGTGTGTGTGTGTGTGTGCTTTCAGACTGTCAGATAAATTACAGAGTTCCAAGGGTTAGACTACATTAGTTTTATTTAGGTGTACCTAATAAACTGCCAACTGTGTGTAGAGATATCAGATATCAGAATGGCACTCAGTAGCCTGCATGAGGCCCAACAGTGCCCTTGTAAAAACATATTTACGTTAACAAGATGTGCATTTTTATGTAGATCTGCACTAAATTGTGCTCGCATTAATATCAGTCCCCTGAATCTATAAAATATTTCCTGGGAAACATTCCCAATCTCACATGTTGTAATACGCTATGCTATCTCGCAATCCTAAAAAAAGTCCCTGATCTGGATCTGCACCAAAATATTATGTTCTTCCCTGACTCATAGCACATCCTTCCATTTAGTTTCGTGATAATCTGTTCCATAGTTTTTTCCACATTCTTGCTCAAACAATAACTAATGACTTTATTTATAGAGCATTTACAGTTAAAAAGTGCTTTACAAGGGCAGCAAAATAAAACAAGTTAAATCATGAGCACATAAAAAATGAAGGAATCGCAAATATTAAAAGACAATATTTTTATAAATTAATTTTCTAAAATAGAATTAAGAGATCGCTGACTCAGACCAGACCAAGGTTCTTCGCAGCAGATTTGATGTGGTCCACTAACAGACCTGCAGATGGCAGTATTTGTTTTGACATGTGCTCAGCTCCAATTCAAATGATCTCAGTTTTGTCTGGGTTCAGCTGAGGAAAGATCCTGGACATCCAGTTCTAAGTCTCAGGAAGAGAGTTGTTTAAAGAACTCAGTATACCAGGCTCTGTGGGTCTAACAGGCAGGTACAACTGCGCATCATCAGCGTAAAAATGAAATGAAACACCATGCTTGTTTATGATGTGACCGAGGGGCAGAATGTATAAGAGATATAACAAAATTGGATCTAAAGCCGACCCCTGGGGCACATTGAATCTGTGCATTATGATCACCAGAATATGTGAAGCAGCACTGGGGGCAGACTGCACCTATAGGCGTGGCTAGTGATGTTGTGGATGAGGGCAGTGAGGAAGAGTTCCTTCAGTGACCAGTGCTGTGTCCAGGTGTGTGGTATGAGTGGCATGAGTCCAGCAAACCAACAAACAGGGGAGAAAACAAAACCTCCTTGGTGGAGACAACAAAATATTGTGCAGTTTGACAAGACACAGTGTGATTCAAACTATCTCAGAGAAGTGACCACGTCCTTTAAACTCACAGGTCAGATAATAGAGCACAGCAAACATGTGAGTGCCGAGTGGATTACCTCTGTCTTCCAGCAGAGCACTGATGGTTTGTGAACCAGACTTGGCAGCAGACACATCCAGCGTTCCTGACTCCATGTCCTCCAGTAACGATCGAGCTGTGTCAAAACTGTTGTTCATAGTCGTGCCTATCACACCAGTGGGGCCGGTTTTCAGCCAGCCACTACAATATAAACCTAAAAGAAACATGGATTCACTATTCATCTTGTTTGATACGCATGTGCACATACACACGTTCATACACGTATTGAATACAGTACCTGTAGTCTGTTGAACGCGGCCCATGGTGTTCGGGACGATGGCTTTGTGGGAGTCAAACGGCACCGATGGATCGATGGGAAGGCTTTTGTAGCCGATGCTGCTGATGACCAGACCACAGCTGACATCCTCCACTTCTCCAGTGAGCACTGCACAGGCCCCTTCACCTGAACCCTGGTCGCAGAGAGGGAACCAACTTGAACCAAGCTTATGTAGCAGCTACACATGCATGTCTACACAGAGAATCCGTTTACCTCCAGCCTGTTGACCGCCAGTCGGATGCCAGCTGTTCTGTTGTGCTCGGGGTCGGCCAGGACCTCGACGGGGCTCCGGAAGAATCGAAATCCCCACGTGCGGGAGGCCTTGCTTCGTCTCTCCTGCTCCTTCTCCCCGGGGGTCTCCAGGGCCGTCTTCAACATCAGCTCCGTCAGACGCTTCCTGGGCCTCGGCAAATCTGACGCAGCAGAGATTATCCGACTCAATTATTGAATACTCAGAAACTATTCCTTCAGAAGTGCTTTTAATGCATGAATATGGCGTGTTTAATCTTTTTACTGCTAGACAGAAAAGTACTTCGTCTGACTGCACAGAAAAGTTTCCTTAATCAGACACTGTTTGATTTTTAGACTTATTATTTAAATACCAGAAACATTTTATTAAAAACAAAGTGGCTGCTTTAGAACCAATTTGACCTGTTATTGGGTCATATTACATATGTACATATTATATAAAATGCTCCAAAGTTGTCTTGACTAAAACCCAGGGGAAACTTATTTTATTTGTTCATCAAGTTGAAGGAATATGAGGCAATGAAGAAGGTGGTAAGTTATCAAGCTTTTTATATCTCATGGCTATTAAATCACATCACAGCAACAGTAAAAACATGCCTGTGTGTTTCAGTGTATACGCTCTTATATAAAGTATAAATGGCCGTCTTTGAGCTGTTTTACACCAAGTGGTCAGATGATCAGTATTGACAAGGTGGAACGTGAACCTATTGGATCCTCAGACTGAAGAGCACCAGAATTGTTTTTGACACACTACCAATCAAGAAAAACAAGATCTATGAATCCACACCTCTGCTGTAAAAACTCCAGTTTGTTTTAGAGCCCGATCAGTATGGATCTTTGGAGGCTGATGCCAATAAAGTAAAACATTACTGATACTGATATATCGACCTATATACATTTTCCAAAAACTTTGCAGTGATATTTTACTATTTAACCATAAACTTTATTATAAATAACTATAAATAAAAACAAAATACAAATATATCCAAATTTGTATAACTTTTTTTAATGTAAAATGTATTTTTTTAATTTTAAAATCAGCCGATTTGTTTTCTTTTTGGAAAATTGTTTGGACTCACTGGTGTTAAGAAACGTCCACTCATGTGTGTAACATCTGGAAACAAAATAAAAGACACAAACCACCAGTTTCTAACATCGTCCTTAACTCACTGTAGATCAAGGTTCTCATTTAACCATGAACAGAGACGAGGAGGATGTTATCGCTGTAAACATCACTCAGCTCAATGTCGTTTCTCCGATAAGGACGAGGAAAAAACAAAAAGGGCACGAGGACAGAGCTGCAGCATCTTACTCCAACAGGAAACATTTTCAACAAGAGAACATTCAACAGTCTGTTAACCACAACATTGGACAGTCTTGAACACTAATGTCTTGTGAACACCTACTTTCAGCACATGTAGTAATTTCACGTGTTTTTACTGCTTGTGGGGTAAGAAAAAAAAAAAGGAAAAAGAATGAAATTGACTTAAAATGTGATATACTCAAATTCTTAGGCTTTGTTAGGACCAGGTGGATGAGGCAACCACCACCTGAAGAGGAAAAGTATTATGATAAAATATTATTTCAGACCTTTAAGAGCCTCTGGGACGCCCTCGAAATCAGCCACCACCATCTCAGGTCTGGTGCCTGGCAGGTTCACCATTTCTCTAAACTCCTGCGGACCAGGAGAACATAACAAGATGAAGAAAATAAAGCATTTAAGGTAGGGTTAGAAAATGTCACAGTGTTGTTTAAAGGACTGTTCTGGCTTTTTACCACTGCCAAGGGGGTTATGTTTCCACCTCTGTCTGATTGTGAGCAGGATTAAGCAAAAACTACTTAAGCAGAGTTCTGGCAGATGTGACTGTCATACATGTGACTTGGCACTGATCTCATTCTGGTTACTGTGAAAGGCATGTTGCATTTCTAAAACAAAGTGCTGGTTAATGGCAGTTGGAGTTGTTTTTCTTCTCTATACAGGT